GCATTGGCGGGCTACAGTCTATGCCGAAGAGTTCGCAGCCGGTCTCGCTCCCGACAGCTTCGTGACCCTGGAGCATGTTCAAAACATGACACAACACGTAAGAATCGGGTCGTTCGCCTGGGTCTCGCAGGCGTTCGAGCAGCTGGACATGCTCCTGGTGTCGCACGTCAAGCCGCTGAGTGAAGCTGTGCAGGCGATGTTCGATCAAGCCTCTGGTCCCCTGGAAAGGACTGGCTTTCTGATTCTGTGCGAATCAAAATACTCTGTCCTCTTTAAGTCTGCAGCTGGTCACATGCACTTTGATTCTCATGCGTTCAGTCCCTGCTTTCTTGACAGCTGCGCGGCCTGCGAGCCTCGCTTGCAGCACACGCCGCACACCTTTTTCAACTCGGACCCAAATCCACATGCATTCCTTCAGGTTGTTTCCAACGCTGAAGAACTACTTGAGTTCCTATGCACCGATCGGGACGACTTCCGACCTTAAAGACCGGAAGCCTTGGCCGTCGTGTGCCTGGGTTGATGAAAGTGCAAAGTAGGAGGCTTGAGCTTGAAGTCCTCGCATTTGCCCTGTCCAGGCATCGGATCACTTCACGGTCGCCTGTCAAGGAGGAGCCAGCAGTGGAGCCACCGAGGAAGCGTCGCAAGACCATGAAAGATCTTCTTGATGAAGATACAGGTGTGCAAAGCATGTACGACGCGCTGCTGAAGGCCAACGAAGCTCAAAGGCGCTTGCACTCTGTCGAGGCTATCGAGCAGATCTTCGCGCTCGCGCACGAGTGCACAGACGGGGACGCACGCAAAGTCATCGGTCTGGTTGGAGCACTGAGCTTTGAGCTGCACTCCAGCCTAGCGGCTAGAGCGCTCCTGTTGACAGTGGCGCGTTGGACCATCATGGCCGGCAAGCTTGCAGGCGAGCAGCAGGCAACTAGGCTTCAACGAACGTCTAGTGCGGGGTTATGTGCCTTGCAGGCCTGACTTCCGCAGCCGTGCGTGAGAGTGTCACGCACATCACGAAGATGGCTTATGGGAAGATCTCTTCGAAGCTGGCTTTTGAGCAGATTCTGGCCCTCATTGCAGACGCGCTTCCACAGTGGAAGTCTGAGTTCAAGGCCACGTGCTATTGACCTGTAAGGGAAGCAGCATAATTTGCACCCCGAAAACTCGACCCTGTAAGCGTGGATTGTTGCAGCGCCCTACTGTGGAGGTCACCTGATGCGTCCCGCGATTTTTTTAGCTTTACGGATTCTAAAAGAAATCAACTCTCGGAACGCGGATTTGGGGTGCTTGTGCGACACTGAGCGCCGAGTACGTGCATGTCATAGTCTGCTGCAAGGACACTTATGCTGTTGACGTGGACGAGGTGGACACCCCCAGCACCGTGGACCCGGCCACTGCCATGAAAGCAGTCAACTTGCGAAAGACGCTGGGTCCCGTCGCGCAGGCCAAGGCCAAGCCCCCTTGCAAAGACTTTGCAGGAGGCGCCCTGGCAAATTCTGGCCCCAGACAGCCCCCACACCCATGCTGAAATGTGTTGTGTTCAGTTCGATTGCATCGATTAAGGGAGGGGTTCCCCTGGCAAGGCCAAGTCATCGGTCCCGCGTAGACGCGGTAGCACCAACGACATCCGCAAAGCGAAGCTCGCTGCCATGCGTGCCTGCAATGACTATGCAACAGCGAGCCAGACGACTGGCAGGTGTCTTTGAAGTCTTTCGATGGAGCGTGCAGGGAGGCATTGGAGGCCGTATGCCCAGACAAGAGTCTGCGCGTCAGCAAAGACGTTGTTCAGGTTCTCTTGGCCGGTGCGTCCTCGGCAATCGCGCAGCTCATGGCAGACGCAGATGCTTTGCGCCAGCATTCCAAGAGGTCCACTCTCTGGGCCGCCGATCTCCACTTGGTAACTCAGCTGCGAGAAAGATGGGGCGATGTCACTCCACGGAGCGACTCGTCGGGCGAACGACGAGATCGACTTGAAGTACGAAGTGCTGGCTATGTTGCACAGCAGTCGGTTCTGTGTTTGCTGCGCATTTTTTTCCGGTGTGTCACCAGATTGATCGCAGGCTTGCCGCAAAGCATTGGAGCAACGCTTGGGAGTTTGTCTGCAATCGCGCAAGGCACCGAACGAGCCATTTAGCTGAGTTGAAATGTCTTGGAAACACACCACTCGTCAGCCATGGGTTTAACGAAACTTGATAAGCTTTAAATTTTCTCAAAATCCTGCCATCTGCAGGCCGAGCTGGCCTCCTGAGCGAACTGAGCGACACTGCAGGAAGCTGCCCGTTGGCAGCACTTAGTGTCACACTTGCCGAACCCCATGCGCATTCGAGCCCATAGTTTGAAACCCTAAACCCTAAAACCCAAACCCCTAAACCCCTAAACCCTAAGCCCCTAGTTTGTGGACACCAGGAAGGCGCGCAAGCAGCCTACGCCGCCCACTTCGCGTTACCCCAGTGTCGGCCAAGCCGGGTTCCGGGCTTCAGAAACTCAAGGTTTAGGGGGTTTAGGGTTTAGGGGTTTAGGGTTTAATTAGGCTTTAGGGGTTTAGGGTTTAAGGTTTAGGGCTTTTGGTTTGCTTTTGGGTTCGTCTCTAGGGCTCCTGCAGTTCAGCATGCTGCACCTGCATGCAGCCTCGATGTCTGCAGCAAGACCTCGTGCCCTAGACCCCTAAACCCCCCAGCCCTACTGTGTAAACTACAAGTTCCAGGACAGCATCCGCAACCCCGCCCTTGAACGGCCAGACCCATACCTCACTAGCTGTTGCGACCTGGGGCAGAAATCCTGCAATAGAGCTCCTCTTCCAGCAATTGCCGGAACAAGAATTGAAACCCCAAATTGAAAAAACCTCTATAAACCCTCATCCGCTCAAGCCCAAAACCGGAAAAACCTCAACCCAGAGAATCTTCAAGTCACTCATGCCCGCGATGTCCCCGACCATTCGTCCTTTCGAAATTCCTATAATTTGGGCTGGAAAGTCAGGCTGTAGCCTAAAGCCTGCCGCTAGAACCCTCAGGTTCTAAGGGCTCTGATAGTTTAAGGCATTTGGGTCCCGAAGTAAACCGTTGAGGGTTCAGGGGTTAGGATGTTTAGGGTCTTCAGGGCTTAGGGTTCAGGGGTTAGGGTCTTCAGGCCGTTATGTTTACTTTTGGGGCAAATGAGCTAAGATGGGACTCAGCTGTGGGAGCGCTTCGTTGAAATAGGTACTGTACTTGTCGTATTATCTGCCTGTCTAGTCCCTCAAGATTTTATTTCAAGCACTACGGCCAAAAACCCTACAAAACCATATAAACCGTATACAACCATATGAAACACCCAAAAGCCCCAGAGTGAACCCTCGAAAGTTATCGCCCGAGGTTGCTGAAGCCGTCCATCTTCGCCCATGGGCGCGAGGCCTACCGCAGGAATGTGATCGTCTGCCTGTATAGCTTCTACAAGAACCAGGCCTCTCCGGAGCTGTTGAGAAGGGGTTCGGAAGGTTCTGGGGTGTAGGGTTTAGTAAGGTTTGGGGTTTGGGGCTTTGGTTGCTGTGGATTTGAGGATTTGATCCTTTATGCAAGGTTTCAGTCTCGAATCTGCGCTTGACTTGACCTGCCTCCTTTCTGAATTCTGCAGATATCGCTCGATCTCTTACACCTGCACCTGGACTGAATTAGTTACCCTTCCTCTCAAGAGCCTCCCAAACACTCGTGTCTCTGGCGGTTGGGCGTTCCATGTGTCTCTGAAGAAAGAGAGATGGTATCCCGAGCCGATATCTCTACTTAGACTCTACTTATTACCCAGGCTTCAAACTGCACAAAAGGTTACACAACATCCGAAACTTCAGGTCTACCCACAACACCTTGCTTTAAATCATGAATCCAAACCTCCGCCGTCGCCCAAGAGCCTGCCGTGATGAAGCAGTGACGTTGGTAGATCACGGATCGGCAGGCTGTGCAAGGATCCTTAAGGCAAGGAAACCCTTACGCCAACACGTATGACGTTGCGTTAATTGAGGCGTATAGTCGTTTCAGGCAGAGACGCACCTCAGAATCCTTCGCGCAGTTTGCCCTCGAGTTTTTCTTGCCATTAGTTTCGAGTATGGGGTTCGTGGCGGAGCTGAGCATAAACCCTCTTTGGTGGTAGTCGCGATAATTTTCGTGTCTTCGCCTAATGTATCTTTAGTGGGAGATATTAGCTGTCCTCTCTCCGGAGCCGAAGTTTGTTCAGCAGGCACCCGCACCGAAAGACCAGTTCAGAGGCATCCGCACGGAAAGACCAGCTGATATGTGCTGCTGATGCTGGTGTGTGCTGTTGCTGCTGATGTGTCGTGCTGGCTCTGATGTGTCCTTCTCCTGCTGCTGCTACTGATGCCTTGTCGTGGTGAGGTTTTGATGCCTTGTCGTGGTGAGGTTTTGATGCCTTGTCGTGGTGAGGTTTTGATGCCTTGTCATGGTGAAGTTGTTTGTCTGTCGTGGTGCCAATATGTCTTGTTATGGTGTGAAACCCTTTTTCTTGTCATGGTAACAACGCGCTCTCCCCCATATTTTGAAATTTAGTATACAAACTGGTAAAGAAAAATATACAACGCAGCAATAATATACCATAGTATGACTTCGCAAGATATGGTAAACGTGAGATATTTCACTGTAGTATAAGAACACATTGTAATAAAACCATCGTGTTCTAACATTATTATTCTATGTTCGTTTCCAGAATACTACGTACTTTAGATGTTGTCTTTTATGATGCCGTATTGTTTGAATTTTACGTTGGTGCACACACATATATTTATAAACATATACACATACCGATAACAATTGTGTACAGTGTATATATATATATATAATATTGATACCTAGCCAGATAGAGACAAACATAGAATATAATGTATGTATGTATGTATGTATGTATGTATGTATGCATGTATGTATATAGGCGCTGCCTTCTCCCTCCAACCGGTGACGTCATCCTTTGAGTCGCTTGGCTTGCAAAAAGCCTGCAACTAGATGAGAACTTGGCCCCGCCAGGCAACCAAAGAGAATCGGCGCCGCAAGGCAGCTGCACGCTCAAGGCCGAGACCCTAGCCCACAAAAGGCACCCCAAACCCTCAACCCTAGACCGTGGCGATGATGCACTTTTGAGGATCTGCTCTCCGAGCAAACATTCGTGCGCGCGCAACAGTCTCTGCGCTCTTCCTAGGAATCGTAGCTGCGAAACACCATGCGAGCCCGAGACTTACACCATAACATTTTCATGGATGAGGTCTGTCGGCTCTCAGCTCGCTCACACTTTGAGTAGACAACCGGAACTTGTTGAGATACCCTGCTCCGCATCCAGCAGACAATGCAGGCACGTAGAACAAGAAGCCCTGAAAGCCATAAATGTCCTCCAAAATCTGAGCACTGATGACCAGTGTAGACTGATTGCTGACCTAACCAAACAGATCCCCCCAAGAGCCTTCAATCAGTTGACGAGGTTAACTAGTGCACTGCCTCATGTCTGGTATACCTACTAGCTGCCTGTGTGAGTGTTTGAACGCCTTCAAGGCCCCATTGAAGGCTGGTCTGCAGATTCCCCCGAAAGGCTGTCAGGATACTTCCATTGCATCCAGGGAAGATGGAGAGCTTCGCATCCTAACAGCATGGTGCCCACAGCTGACCCACAACAACACCCCATCTTTCAGCAGTATCCTACATATACACGGATTCCAGCCTCCCGACAGCAGATCGCAACTAGACGACTGCAGCCTCACAACATACTATGGACACCAGATAATACGCCAGCTCCAAATCCATGAAGCCGTAGCCTCTCAACAAGTAAGCTGAAGCATCGAAGTGAACACATCCCCTGATGCAAACTCGTCTTCAAATGTCGAGGAAACTAGGGCGGACCGATGGGTCGCCTCCGCGCCTGGACTACGGGACCACTAAGGTGCGAGCACAGCGTGTGTAACGCACGCTCGGAGTGGGCTACAAGTTCTCCCTGCTTCAGGCCCCCCTCCCTACTGACCGTTTTCGTCCAATTCATAATTAGCATGCATTAAATTAAACTAGTACTCGCGTCGTCCGTTTTTTCCTTCGTGAGGCCCGGGTCTACAGGCTCCGACTAATTCGTAATTCGTAATTTGTAATTCCCCACGTGCATCCCCAAACACTGCAACAAAAAGCCGACATTTCCATTGCATCATCATCATCATTATCATCATCAGCATCATGTCCTTCCTTTCACTCTTTCCAGCCCTCCTGTCCCGTCAACATGTTTCACGCAGCCATGGCCTGATTGCCTCCGCCGCCCTCTGACTTCGGAACATCCTGGGATCAACCGTGTCTTGCTGGCTGAGAAAACAAGCTGAACTGCGACGATCCTTGAAAGACTGGACGATGGCGATGCGCACACTCTGGAACCTGTCTCGTTGGAAAGGGATCACAGTAAAAGTCCAGTTCCGATGGAGTGAGTGAGGCTGCGACGTGGCTTGAGGGCTGCATTCCTGTCAAAAGCAACACAGACATTGAAGTCGCCTCCCCCTGAGCGGTCGCCCTCAATTTTCATCTT